TAATGGTCTGTATCACCGGTTATAGGATGAAACACTCCCAGTGTGGTCAGAATAAAAATTAATTTGATCTTTTTTTCAAAATAATAAATAATTCTACAAATAATTCACCTTGATATATTTAAATGAATTCCTTTCTGTAGCGATTCTTCTTTTCATCTACGCACATAAAACTAATGGTACAATGTCAGTTGGATGAAAAAGTAATGAATCTCGAGACGTCGGCAGTACAAACCACGAGTTAATTCAAATTAATATATATGTTTTTGTTGTTCTAATATTTAGTCTGTGTGCTGTCAGAATGTTTTAGTCCTATTTTTGCATTAACAAAGATCATATGTATTTTTAAAACTTACCTTCTTGTTCCCTGCATTCTGAGAAACGTTGTCACGGGCAGGGAGAGGAACCAATTGCAGCACAAGCAGGTCTGGTTTTAACACAGCCTTTTCCTGGAGCTAACGGGCTCACTGCAGTTAGCGCAGGTTGACGAGTGATCAAGAAACGACAGGCGGGTGTCAGGTCAGGTCGAGAGCAGAGACGAGCTGAAAGGTTCACATGGGAGCAACGACAAGGGCAGGAGCAAAAGGAAGGGAAATGTGTGGAGGTGGATATATACTGGGTGGAGCAGGTGGAAGCAGTTGTGCTGATTAGGGGGCGTGGCTGCAGGAGTGACTGAACACAGGTGGTTTAAAAGTTTCCACTGTGGAGGAGCAGACTGGGACATGCGGAGATTCATGACAATAACCCTCTCTCTCCAGAACTCCAGAACTGCAGGACCTGATCCAGACCTCTCAATTCCAGTCATCAATCATCATATTTATTAATTCATAACCAATAAAGTTAAACTACCTCTATATCCAACACCAATGATAAAGTTCTTCCTCCACCAGTACTGTCTGCTACTCTACATATTATAGCAGGCGTAGGCAAACTATGGCCCGGGGGCCGGTTGCGGCTCGTTTGGCTTTTTAATCCGGCCAGCCAAACTTTTCCAAATGATGTTATTGATTTCTATTATCATTATACTTCTGTGATGATTTTTATTATCATTATACTTCTGCCTTTTCTCTGCAGTTCCTACATTTGTCTTGGATGTTTTGTGATTAATATAAACTAGGGACGGGTTTAAGTAAAACAAAAAACACAACTAGGGATTTATTCCTATTTTGTGGATGTCCTTATAATAAAACATGTGTGCAGTTAACACGCTAATTAAAGACAACCCGCCCCCATTCAGGTAACTCAGCGAAGAGATTGTGTGTGTTTGTGTGTCTGAAATGCCTCTATTTCTCTCTGCTGTAAATCCTGCAGTTCTGCTTGCCAACACGGCTTAACAGATGCATGAGAGAACATTAAAAAAAAACAAAAAAACATAAATAAGGGAAAAATTTCCCTTGGGATAGAGAAAAAAATGTTCAGAAAAAACAACTGAGACAAAGACGAAAAAGAATATTATTAGTAATTGCATTTTTATTTGATTTTTTTTCTTCTTTTTTTCTTTTCAGATAAATCACAAGGAACACAGCCGTTAGACAATAGCAGTTGAAGTAATTCATACAAATGAATGTCCCTGGTCTTTTCACCAGTTGCACATTGTAGCATGGAGGCCTCAGCTATCAGTGTGGGCTGGGAGGTGGAGGGGGGACGACACTGACAAACATGGGGTGCTTGTTTTAACTAACCAAATTGGCATGTTTCCTCTCCCCCTTTCTCAGTGTGTGTGTGTTTGTGTGTGTGTGTTTAGCAGTGTGTGCACCTGCATCCTCGTGAGTCAGAGACCAGAGGCGGTAAGCCACATCCGACAGGGCCCTGTCCTAATCACTTGCTAAAAAAACTCAACCGTCTGGAGTGGGGAGAGAGAGAGAGAGAAAAAAAAAGAACCATCCCACTCTAGATTTTGAGTACAATGCTGAGCAACAACAGTGCACGGTGTCAATGGTGTTTAATTAGACAGTAATGAGAGGCCTGAGATTGTGTTGAATCTCCAAATACACCAACTACAAGTCACAGCCTCTGCTCTATTGAACAGCAAATAGCCTGGGGTGGTGAAGGAAGGAGGGAGGAAGGAAGGAGGGAGGGGGGGCTGGGTTGGGAAAGTGGGGGGCATGGCTTTGTAGAACACCTTCCTTTCTTTCGGCCTCGGCTGTGTCCACATTTCGTGAGTGCACAGGCAGTGGCCGGGCCAGCAGAACACCATTAGAGGAGACAGCACTTAAAAGAGTACCCTTTGATGGTGACAGTGACAATTTGTGCCAGACAGAATCTGTGTAAAATGGCAGGTCCCTGCAAGGGTTTTTTTAAGGTATAAATATAGTGAGAGAGAGCCCCAAAAAACTGACTCTGAGGTGGGCCCCAATTTAATATCTACTTTATGTAGGTGAGAGACCCCAAATAATGGATTTTACAGGGTATCTTTAATCACACAAAAAAAAGCAAGAAAGCAAATGGAAGCCATGCGTGGTCTTAAAAAAAAAAGTGTTTTTCATCATAACAACTAAAAAAGTAAAATAATGAGTATAACATTTGAGAGGGTGTTTTTTATTCTCTCTCGCAGCCTTTAAATTTAAAAGGCAACAAGAATAAATATGGTATATTGACGTATCCCGAAGAGTGTTTCTCCATTAGTTTCTGAGTTACTGTTTTGGCTCTTAGTTTTCGTGCACAGTGCAATTTAAAAACTGTGTGTGATTTGAAAGTCAAGCTTTCTGGACATATATTCATAAAGGAACAATCTACATTTTTGAAAACAAGGCAAAAACTACAAGCCCTTCGTAAAAGTAAGCCTAATTTTTAGCTACTTCTGTAGACATAAGAGCAAAAAAAAAAAAACCAAAAACTACAAGCCCTTCGTAAAAGTCAGCCTAATTTTTTAGCTACTTCTGTAGACATAATTTTCTTTCCTTCTTAAGGAGGTCAATGAAAAACTGGTGAAGAACCGCAAAAAAAAAGGAGCAACAAATATGAAAAAAGATGGCCATGAAATTAAAACAAGGATCAGATGGTGGAACCACAGAAGGAGTTCAAGAAGGTTCTTTAGTTACGTAAAAAAAAAAATAAAAAAAATAAAAATAAAAAAGAGCAGAAATTGACCTCTGTTGGACAGTGAGGATTCCAACTCAGAGGGATTTAAGGGTCACTTCTCACCAGGGCTCTGTTCCCTTCATGGCTGTGTCTTACATACAGTACTTTACAAAGGTTTCAGATGGGCGTACACATTTATTACATCAACCCTTTTTTTTCCCTAATCAAGTATTCAAAGCAAATGACAAGAAACTGCAGAAAATACAGCAGTTTTTTTTTTTTTTTTGACCTCTGTTGTCCCGATTGGGGACAACTGGGGTCGCACTTCAGTCTGTTAGCTAGCTGGATTGCTTGCTTTTTCTTAGCCAAGGGCATATTTTCCAGCCACAGGGCGCCACCTTTGACAGCTTCCACATTTGCTTTAAACACTTGAAAAAAAACAGGGAGGATTCTACCAATTAAAACAGCCACCTGATACATTTGTATGGCACCGTAGATTTTGGTGATTGCGGTCACATTTTTCCAAACACACATCTAATCTAACACCTTTACCATAATTTCACTGTTAGAGAATCTTAGAAAAAAGCACTTCTTGTTATTATGGCGGAAACGTTGCCAAAATGTTGAAAAATAAAGATCTCTCATTGTCATTTAAGAAAGCCTGAATGTGGAGACACGGCGTCTTATAAACCATCCATCTGACCATCGAAACACAGCTAATCCAAAATGAATTTTTTAAATAGAGGTTTTGATTTGAAGTCAATCAGCAAGAGTATTTGAGAATTTGAACACGTAACCCCAAAACGGGAGAACACAGATAAATGACACGTGGCCGCTGAATAAAGAACCATGTTGGGTTCTTGGTAGAAAAATGCACATTCAGGTGGACCAGGGCTTTGAAAGCAGTCACAAGCTCCACAGATACAACAAGCTCTCCGCAGAGACAGTAAGGCAGTTGAATAATCACCAAGGAAACCGATCCGCCCTCCGTATGGCAGGTTTCATTTTTGGAAAAGAACGTTCGAAAACTAAAGTGAACACAAAACACACACGTACTGGTAAAACTGTAAAAGAAAATAGCTGCCGTGGAAAAAATCTGCTCAGTAAAAAGATTCAAACTGTTACCATGTGTTTGTTGCTTTTTGTTTGTCAGTTTGAATTGTTTTCTAGATCAGCTGGCTCATTAAGCTTTTTCGACAGTTATTGTATGTGATCCAGCTGGATCCGGGCGTGAAAACGTGGCGACAATCTCGAAAGCACTGAAGCCGGCCTGCAAAGATGCAGAATAGAAAGGAGGAAAAAAGACAGACGAACCCGAAAACTAAAGCAAACTCACAGAGTTCGACAGCGACTAAGGCAACTCTTGCCAGATACAATATAAGCCCATGTATATTGCAACACAACTATATATTACTTTAATAAAATACACAATATAGCTTTTGTACACATAACAATTTGGCTCAAATGCACAGAAATCGCAGTAAAATCAATAAAAAATATGTCTTTTTTTGAATGTAAACACATCTAAATTGGATACACTTACACATTTAATGAGATTATGTATAGTGATAAAGTGAAGGGACATTTTTTGGATATTCGTTTTTTTAAAACAATGGCAGTGTCCTCTGCAGTTTGTCGACTTATTAGCCCGCTAGTTATTTCAACTTTAGGACACTTTTCTTTCTTTTCTTTCTTTTTTTTTTAACTGAGATTTCTTTCTTTTTTTTTCCTACAAAATGTATAAATATTTTTGTAAATATTGGGACACTTTACATGAATTGGTACATATAGTCATCTATATAATCATATAGATACATTTTTTTCTTTCACAGTTGAGAAAAAATGTCCCTTTTTATACACTTGTGATTTGCCTTAAGGCGTAGTCTTACACATGAGAGTTCACTGTACACAAGGGACTGAAAGCTGATGATGAACTTGTATAAGACAATTACACAGATGGCCGGTTGTGTGTTTAAGCACTAGTGTGTGTACGTGTGTGTGTGTGTTCTGTGGGACGTGAGCATGTGGGTGTGTGTGGGGTCATCAGTGCGGTGCATGTGAGTAAGCGGGTGTACGTGTTAAAATAGTGTAGTGCACGTATATATAAAAGTGGTGTGTACAAGTACACCAGTCATCAACATTAACATTTAAATAGATGTGAAAGAGACACACGTTACAAATGAGGCCACGAATGACAGGTGGAAAAGATGGTTACACTCTTTTAGAATTCTTCTTGAGAAGAACTTATTTTAAACCCGTCCAACCCCGAGTTCATCAACCCTTATGAACAAACCCCTGATTAACCACGATCCATCAACCGACAACCACTTATATTAAAGTCAAAAAAAAAAAAAAGTTGCTTTGTTTATTTTGGTCTTTCATCGTCCCAAACAGATTAGAACTGGCTTTGTTTTGTTTTTCTTTCAAATTTTCCGTTTCGGTGTCGATTGTCATGTTTGACCATAAGTAGTCCTTTTTTTTCTGTCAGTTTCTATGGCCATCACACATAACAGAATCTGTCTATGCACATTAAGAAATCTAAGATTTCACTAAAGATCATGAACAACACACGTGAGCTGGTGGGCACTTAGATAATAGCTTGCGAGAGGTGCTTGAGGCAGAAGCCTCTGCGATTTCATTAAGAATCCAAAACTGGGAAAAAAAAGCATAAAAATTCAGCAGGTTTTTTTTTTTTTTTTCTCGATGTTCGTAACGTAGTTCTTTTGGAGAGGGATCTCGGCTCCGCAATCGGTGCCAAATGAATGACATAATAAATGTTCCAGAGTCCAGAGTGGGTACTTTCAAACAACAAACACAGAAAAGAGCTCCTGTCAGAAGAGCTATTCAACCTTTTGATTTGTTTTGGTGACAGTTTTGAGCTGAGAGTTTGTGGAATAGTATTTGATTCCTCTCTCTACTTTTACATTTGTTTTTAGATTTTCCTTCTTTTCTTCCCTTTGTGTCACTTCCTGAGTGTTCCGGTGGCTTCACTTCCTCTGCAGTCCTGCAGTAGTTTGTCGATGTCTCTCACTACCTGGTCTGCATCCATTGCATCGTGGTTCGCGTCAGACTCCAACTGCTCCAGGGGACACTCCATTTCACCTGCTGCCTCCTGGCTGATCCTGGACCGGGCCTCTGCGAGCACCTTGGCCACCGGGTCCGAGGGAGGCAAGGACGGGTAGACGCCTTGGTCTCTGGTATGTTTGGTTGGTGACAGGTACTGACCGTCAGGAGGTCCATAGTGGCCTGAGCAGGTGGAGGGAGGAGGTTTGCCCTCGGCCCCATCAGCCGGGCTTTTGACTGAGGCGCAGGTTGATGCGGTAGAACAGCCCTTCGTTGGGCTGCTCGAGGCCGAAGGGACTTCCTGAAGTAGTGGGCTCAGAGCCCTTTTTGCTTTTAAGTAGGGCTTGACGTTGGCAACGAGAATAGTGTGGTCACGTCTGTCTTTCCCAAATGTACAGAAAGTCTTCTTGCCGTTGGGGTTGACAGTCTCGTAGGTCTCTGTCTCCGGAGCAGCTTCCATCCCTGCTGGCACAAACATATTGTTGCGGTAGTCGATGCCCTCAGCCTGGTTTCCTCCAGCAGGGAACTGGGGCATCCAGCAGCGGTCGGAATGACCCAGAACTCGGCACTCCTCAGTGCAATTCACACAGTCCTCATCTGTGGATACAAGAACAGTAAAAAAAAAAGGGAACAAGTCAGTTCAGGGCACGGAAAGTAGTGAAACGAAGCACAGTTCTCTAACAGTGTACGTAATGAAACTCTACAAAGACTAGGAGACCTCAGAATGAAGCCCAGGCCAAACTACCTGATGGAAGACAAAGAGATAAACACTAATATACCATTGCGCACAAATGTTTACTGTTGCACGTTCACAGCTGAACTGGGAGTCCCCTGCAGGAGTTTTCCACATCACAGATGACAGGAATGGCAAAGTGTACACAAGACATGGAAAGGGACTCTGGGACTACACTTGAAGTTTGCCAAAAACTCTGTGCTGTTTTATTAAATCCATGTCAGTGGGCTTTGAACCTTTCCCCAGGCAGACGAGGCCAAATGCTTTGTGTTTCATCCCTTTGCATTCGCGCCTGCTTATTTGCGAGCGCCCTTTGTTGTCACCTGTGCATGCGTGTGTGCATTAGTGTAACCATGTGTGTGTGTGTGTTCCTCTCTTTCATCTTTATTCAACAGGATTCACACACGGGCTGATTGAGGATGCGTTCATGTCTGTGTCAAATGGCACCAGAACTAATAATAAATGAAAAAAAAATGTGCGCAAATGTTCTTTTTTTTTTCCCCCTCCATTTGAACGTGCAGTGCAGAAAAAGGATGGGAGAAAAAAAAAAATAGGGCATCAGCTGTGCCACAAATAGATTTGTTTCTATTGGCTGGATGAGGCGTAACCAAGAACCCCAAAAGCATCCTTGCAGCAAAGATGACATTGTTTAACAATCATTTCCTTGTTTCAGAGCTGCATTCGTTTATATAGTAATATCCTAGTATAATATACAGCGTGTTGGGTATTACCCAGTGAATTAGGAGGCTCCAGTGTTTATCTTTAAAGTGATTAATTGCCAGAAAACAAATACATTTTATGAAATAAACAGAATACAGAATAAACTTTGTAGAAGCAGATACACAGGTTTTGACCAATTTATTTTTGCATATTATGGAGCAAATTCATCACAAAGAATGTTTGTAATATTGACTAATTGCAAAATGTAGGATGTATGTAGGGATTTTTCATTAACTAATGTCGGGAAATCATATATGCATTACTGTACATTTAGTGGTGTCAAACTCATTTTCACCGGGGGCCACATCAGCAGTGGAAGACTGTATAGATCAGGGGTCCCCAAAATGTAAAGATCCTTCAATGCTCAGCACCTTGGTACCGGTATGTAATAAGTGGTACTGACTGACCAGTCCTTGGAACAAAAAAGGCTGGTATGGATGTAACTACTCCATAACAGACTAATACATGTTTCTGCAATTGGTTATTATTTGATTGATTATAAAAACTTTTTAATTACTTAGGTTAAGAAACTGTTGCATGGACTTTACGAAATGCTTTTTAAGCTCTCTTGGGCCACACAAAACAGCTTGGTGGGCCGCATTTGACCCCCGGGCCACGTATGATTTAGAGGAAAAAAAAATGTGTGCATGTCAACAACTTGTTTCTTGGGGGCCAGTGATACAATTAGAAAAGCTCCACATCAACAAGATGCAAAAAAGTGCATTTTAAAAGATATTTTAGTTGTCAATTTGGCAACAGTGGGTGGGTGCGTGTAAAGGACAAAAACGTAGGGAATGAGGGAACATGGGAGAACAGGGAGAAGTGGGAGCAGGAGAGGTTAAATCTGGCATATCTGAATGGATGGAGCTAATTCAAGAACCACCAGGGGAAAAAGAACCGAGCAGTCTATCTTTCACACCACTGGGAGTTTTTTAGGGGATATTTGAAAAAGCAGAGGTGAAATTGCTGGTGTTGTTTGACTGACTAAAAGGAAGGCTAACACTTGGACAAAAAAAAAAAAAAAAAGAACAAAAATAAGAAAACATTAATGGACGAGCAGGAACACCACTCCAAGCAAGCTTTTTCTGTTTATTCCTAATGGCTACTGAGAGCATGCTGAGGGAGATTTTAGAAGTGCATAAAAACAGATGCAGAGTTCTCACTCTGCCAGCTTGTTAATAAATAGAAACTGGTTTATTTGATTTCATTTAGTCAAATTAAATCTTGGTTTTCAACATGGATTCACACGTGTTGTTGTTCCAGACAGTTTTAACATGTTAGCCACGGTATTCTTTTAACAGACTACATGATGCTGCAATTACCTGCATGATTACTTTTTTGATGACACATTATAAGCATAGTGTGATATAAAATCCGGAGAATTCGATATTTTATTTCATTTGTTTTGGAGTTGCACAACCATTAGTCTGGGAGGTTGTAGGTTGGGTTTGAATATCCACAGCCGCTCTTATATTGCTTTTTCCCATTTTGCTCAAGTTAAGGTTTACTTTATGAACACCCTTAAAAAAAAGCAATAATACGCTGATATGTGAATTTGGCCTGCAAGAAATGAAGTGGAATAGGTTGCTGTTGCTGTTGTTTGGGGAGTCATGTGCTGTTTAATCCTGATCTTCTTTGGTTTTTCACTGTGATGGAAACGAGCAGACAATGAACTACAAAGACTTGCAGTTGCATAGAAAAGCCACATTGTACCTTAAGTTCATGTCACTTTGCAGTTGAAGCAAAGATTAATTATATTAAATGTTTCTATAACCTCACATAAATTCATTCATTGGGCCTGAAAACTTGTATTTATGAATTGTTCCAAAGGAAAGATCTAGACCAAGGGCGTCAAACTCATTGCGGTTCACGGGCCACGTACAACCTAAATACATGTCAAGTGGGCTGGGCCAGTACAATCAATGACATAATTAATTATAAACTACTATAATCCATGTTTTCCCCTTTTGTTTTCATGCTAGGACGTATGCTTTGAATTCTTTTTTGATTTACAAAAATCATCAAGCGGGCCAGATTGAACACCCTAGCGGGGCGGTTTTGGTGCGCGGGCCTCATGTTTGACACCAATGAGCTAGACATTATTGCTGATCAACATTCATTCAGGTTCAGTTCAATCTTGTAGGAGAAGCTGAGAACTCCTGCTTGTCAAAAGATGCAGGTCGATGACTGGAGGATTCAAATAGTCAAACAATCGCAAGCACAATCCCTTTACCACCAGGCCGCACATACGGTATATACTGCTGTCAACTATGGACCTAAACTGGTAACACTCTTCACAAAACATTATGTTGGTTCCTTTTTGTTTTCTATACTGCACAATAATTAACATACTATTAATTATTTCAAATGACTTTTTATATATATATATATAGTTTACTCATAGTTCATAGTTCAAACTCATAGTTTACTCAATGTTCTTATTGGGACACTTACACAGGTGGTGTCAAAAAATAGACGTGAGCTCTATTCTTAACTCAAAACATGCAATTTTTAAACTAAGGCAAGATTCTCATGAGTGCTGACACCTTAAATATAGCCCTGACCAAAGAACGAGGTATTTTTAAGATCCATAAAGCTTCTCTACCACCTTCTACCAAACATTAGAAGACCACAAGGTTGCTGTGTGAGATGTAAAACCACACCGTCAATTACATTATGTGTGCACAGACCTTTATAGCAGGGTTAGAGTGCTGCCTTAAAGACCACAGACTCAGGACTAACACATTAAGGCGGATAGAAAAGCAAAGTGAATGTGTACGAGCACACTTGGCTCGAGTGTCTCTGTGCTGTGTTATGGGTCGGCAACCAAGATTTCTGAGAGACCTAAGCCTAAGCTTCGGAGATGAGTGGAACACTCGACAAATGTTTGCTGAAGCCAAACTGCACTGGCAAAGAGAGTCTGACATTTCCTGTATCCCGGCAGTCTCCTGAATAGAAAATAAGGTGAACTGGAAAGAGGCAGCGAGTGCTGCAACAAAATCGACATTTAAATGATGTCGAAGTGAGACAAGAAAAACAACTGAAAGACACGTCAAAGCTCCGGGATCGATATTTTGGTCAAAAGCCTGTAAATAAATAATATCAACCTGACCACACTTCCCAAATGGAACAAAAATATCCTTACTGGAATTTTATAAAAAAAATAAAAAATAAAAATCTACTTAATATTTAGCCCTGTCGAGCAAAATGAAGACAGCTTCCCACACGGCAGACTCTTCTAATAAATCCCAGACGAAAAGAATTAACTTGCACCCTACAATATCTCGATGCTTTCAGAGTTGATTGTCCATACACTGTGTGCATATTAAGGCATAAATAATCCATGCAGACACATTTCCCTTTATTCGGTCGGAGGAAACCTATGATGGATTATTTATGTCTGAGCAGCACGTTCAACCTTGAGGCGTTCTTCTCGTATCTATGGCTAACAATATGACATATGAGAATAGGGGTGACATTCAACCCCACCCTCCACCTCCTCAGCCTTTCTGCACGCTCCCACCAGCTCTGTGGGATGAGCAACAGACACCAGCACCAAGGACAAATTTGCCTGCAATGATTTTTTTCAACCCAGTACGTATGCAGGCTGAGTGGCTGCCTCTCAACTGCTTCACAGAGCGTCACCGTTGATCCGAGATGAATTACAGGGATGGAAGAACTATCGAAGTCTGAAACCGAGCCAATAATTGGCCACATTTTGAATGTATTTTTCAGTAAATGCCTCCCTGAGACAAGATCACGGTTTGCACTAATAATCCATTTTATGTATTACTGTTGTGTATACTGAATGGTGAAACTGCAGGCTGCGTTAACTTTACTATCTTGCAGTTTATTTTCCATTAAGATATTACATAACTTATGATTGCATGACTCAAAAAGAAAATCCCATCTCCCATAAAGCCTTCAGCAATGACGTGAAACAAGAACTTCACATTACCTGTAGAGCAGAGCAGGCGAACCAAGCCATGCCAGAGCAAGTAGTGTTAGCGTTAGCGGGCAAATGTTGTCGCGCTAGCTTCAGTCTGATATCCTGAACACCATGTGTCTGACACTACTTTTACTGCACAATTAAGATAGTAGTCCACAGAATCCTACAAATATGAGGCAGGAGCAGTGAAAGTAA